TGAAATATTTTTTGATCACCCATCTGATGAAGATGATGGGGATAACTTCCAACCTCCACGAGAACGTCATATAAAGATCCCACATTTTTTTTTTAAAACATTGTCGTAGCATATTCAGTGACAGGTAAAAGCCCGATGAAAAATTTTTCATGCAAAATTATGTATGAAATTTGTCCATACATAATTATGTATAATTATATATAATCATATAAAATTATATATAATTATACACAATTATGTATAACAATATGTATAATTACATATAAATCTATGCGTAAAATTATATATGAATTTATATATATAATTATGTATAATTATATATAATCATATAAAATTATATATAATTATACACAATTATGTATAACAATATGTATAATTACATATAAATCTATGCGTAAAATTATATATGAATTTATATATATAATTATGTATAATACATATATAAATAGAATGTTTAAACATGAATGGACAAATTTGATACATAATAATATATAATTATGTATAATTATATATAATTTTATATAATTATATAAGAAAAATTTTTCATTGGGAGAGTTTGAAATTTTGCTGTACTGTAATAATTTATTGTTTTAAGTTTATATAAATGTTCTTGCATTATATCTTTTGATTACAATAAACTATATTAACATTATTAAAATAGATTTTAAATCTATCTTGTTTTGTCATCAATATACCCTAATGGCATAATTTATTGTGCCATTAGGATATATTGTGCCAATAATTTATATAATTTACTTGCACCTGTAAGAGTCATATAAAAACAATACTTGCAAATAGGTTAAAACAGTGTGACTTTTTACTTTAGGATAATATTTAAAAAATATAATATATATTTTAATGGTTATATAACTTTAATTAAAAATAAATAAAATTTTATTAGAAAACAACACCAAATGATTTTATAATCAATAATACAATTTTACAAAATTATCTCATGTATTTGTCACGGTATTGTTCTGCCTAACCCACTGCTTGCAGTCGTGAGACAGCATTATAGTGTGTTCGATTGGCCCTGGGTTAATCGCTCCGAGAGCGATTAATGACGTCATAAGTCTCTACTAGCCAATCATAAAGCTTATAAGTATTTGTTCGACCAATAAACGTAGGCTGAATAACCTAGAGTGAGTTAACCCAAAGCCAGTCGAACATATAGGGTGCTTCCGAAATGTCCAGGTTTGGGTTGGGTTGAGTTAGTTCCACTATAGTATCCGTTACATATACTATAGTGGAACTAACTCAACTCGACCCAACTCTGGGTATTTCGGAAGCACCCACTATTAGGTAGCTTTGGGTTGTCATAAATCACATAATAGTAGTAGATGCCCTAATAGCACGCATGTTCAAAAGACGTCCAGAGAACATCCAGAAAACATTCAGAGGACATTTTATGTTCTATGGATATCCACTGGACGTTCCCTGAACATTGCGTGCTATTAGGGTGGTGGTGTCTGTAACTTATTTATGCTCTAGGGAAATGACTCGGATAGATATTATCGGAAACACCCATTATTCTATGAATATTCCCAGACAGCACAAGTACGTTCTATGAATATTCTGAGAATAATATCAGTGATATTTAAATATTCGTAGAATATTCTCACATGATACTTCGAAGTTCCTAATAACTTCCAAGAGAACATTTAAAGTAGACAAAAAATCACGTTCTATAAACGTCCTATAAATATTCTAAAGAATATCTTATGAATATTTTAAAGAATATCTTATGAATATTCTAAGCACTTTCGCACCACATAGCACATAATATTATACAATATCGTAGTATTATT